ATCTTGATTAAACTTTGACTAATTCAAAATAAATTTAAAAGAAGTTATAAAAGAAATACAAAGAAATTCCAAATTAATTCCAAAGAAAAATAATAAAAAATCTTAAAGAAATATAAAATAAATCTTTAAATAAATAATAATAATTTAAAAGAAATACTAGAAATAAAAAACTTTAAAGAAACAATAAAGAATCCTAAAAAAATATTAAATACAAAAAATTTTATGTAATCCTAATTGAACCTTAATCAAATATTAAGTCAAATCCTAATTAAAATCTAATTGAACCTTAACCAAGTCCTAGGTCAGATCTTAATAAAATCTTTAGTGAAGTTCTAAATCAAACTCCTATTTCAACCTAAATGCTGAACTTCCAACACTAATACTTCTTTCTTGAATTGTTGAATTGCTCCCAAATTTCATCTAAATATTGGAAATCAAGTCTAATATTCATATAAAAAAATTTCACTTCAATCCAATTGACAAATTACTAAAGATCTTAGAACCACTCACTAACCTTTAAACTCCAATCTTTGAGACCTCAATCTACAAAACCTTTACACACTTCAATCTAATTATTTAATTGACCTCACAATTTGCACATATATTAACAAGTAGTACACGAACATATTACCCAAAATTCACCCATATATACACCATAGAACTTAAGAAACCTTCAAATTTATAAACATAGTTTTATTTTTTAAAATCTAAACCAACTAAAAACATCACTAATTTTGAAAATCCATCAAAAACTCAATATTGATTCAATTGATATAAAACCAATGCCTAAAAATCTTTCTTCAAGTTTTTTCTCAAATTCCACTCTTTGATCTACCAGAAAACTCTGAAGTTACTATATGGGCATAGTTTTAAGCCTTAGGATTTATTTGAACCTAAGTTGATAATTGATCCTCTCTAGGTATCAATTTTTGGTAATTTGATGTAAGTTTTGCTTTATCCTATTGTTAATTCTCTCTTTAATATGTCTATATTAATTTCTTATGTCATATACTTTGATTTAGCTTATTTATGTCTCTGTAAAGTAAATAGAAGTTCCTTCTATAAAAAAGTAGTATTAAGACTAAATCTTTTAATACCTTTTCATCTTTTATCCTTATATTTTTATTGCATCTTTTTGCTAGGCTCTTCTATAATAACATCCATATTTTCATTTTTCACTATATAGTTGTGTTATTACATGATAATGTAGTAATGTTTTATAAGACCTCCAACATGTGTCCAATTTGTGAGACACGTCTTAACTTGCAAAACAAGTTTTTTTATATGTCCACCATATGGTTATCTTGTACAACAAGCTACAAATATGTGTAACATGTGACTATCTTATTGGCAAAGTTTCTAACCTATCAATCACCTGTAGACACATGTAAAGATAAAATTGCATCTATGAAGCTTTTAGGAAGCTTTTCTAGAAGATATTATAAAATTATTCTTTTTTATTTATTTCTACCTATTCATACTATCTAGATAACTATAGAAGCAAATAAATAAATATATATATATATATATATATATATATATCCATGATAGATTCTTACTTATATTATTTATATTTTGATTTTTTTTGTATAATTTTTTGAGATATATTATTTAAATATTTAAATATTATTCTTAAAAGAAAATAATGATACATAATGCAAATAATGATTAAAATAATATTAAAATATGTTTATTTGTTTATTACTTTTGTAACTAAATAACTTCATTGTATAATTTTTATTTGTAATAAATTTTGTTTAGGATTTGAATTGAAAATTTAATCATATTAAATATAATTTTTTATTAATTAATAAATGGATAAAAATATTTACTATATAATATAATGGAAGCTTCAAAGCACAATTATATTATGTATTATTTTTGTGTGGTTAATTCATTATCTTAATTATTACATTCATTGATATTTAACTTTTGTGATGCTATATTTGTGTTGTGATATAAATTATATATAAATTTCTTTAAACAACATAGTCATTAGCATAATAGATCATATCATCTAAAATATATGTATATACTTTTGGTAGAAATATTCTTCTCATTAACTATGACAAATGTATATTCAAACTTGTCATTCACATTTAACATCAAGTTGGAATTAAATAATTATCATGCAAAACATTATTATAATAATATTTTTTAAATGGCTCATGTTTTGATTAAAAGTTGCTTCCATCTTACTTTTCGAAAATCCATACAATCAAATATGAATTCATCTTAGATTAATTTAATAATAAGACTAAAATAGATTATAAATAAATGTTTAAAACAGTGTTTAATTTCTTTTTGAGCTTAAGAAGTCACATTATTATCTTGTAATTGCCACCACAACTTGCTATTTATCTTTTGGATAATTTAAATTATAAATTGGATAATTGAATGCAACCTATATCTTTTATTAATACTAAATAAAGATGTATAATTTTAAAATTATATATATATATATATATATATATATATATATACATATTAAAAATAATATATATATATATATATATATATATATGTTTACATTTTATAGTGAAATTTCATATTAATTAATTATTTTATTATAATGCATTAAATATAAATTTGCTTTAAAATATTATGAAGATTTATAAATATATACATGAAATTTGAATAATGTTTTTGATTGAAATACATATTAAATAAATCTAGTGAAATATGTTGAATAGATGGCAGATTGTGATGGCACTAGCAAAAGTTGTGGTAGCATGTAAAAAATAGCAAATTGTAAATTTTGGTGGCAACAATAGAAGCTATGATGATATGTAATAAATGGCAAATTGTAGTGGTAGTAGCAAAATTATGATAGTATTAGTAGTACATTTGAAATAGATCTATTTATTTAGACTAATACATTAATATTTATATAGTTTAAAATTTAAAATGTAATAAAATCTGATAAAAATATACAAAATACAACCAAATAGAAATTTAAATTTAATTTTATGTAAATTTTATAAGTAATGGTACAAAATCACTCTTTTTTATAAAAGATAATATTACAATAAAATTCTTTTAAATTTAAAGGTTTAATTTTATACTTTAATAAAGACAAAACTAAAAAATATTAATAAAAATATTTTATATTATAATATTAATTTAAAAATTTTAAATTTTAATTACATAGAAAAAATCACTTTTTACTCAATTATTTCAATATTAATATTAATTTTAAAATTCTGATAGAAAACATTAGAACATATTTTCAAAAGATCTTATATGATTTAATTTCGAGAATCTATTTCATACGTTTTATTTTGGAAATTATCTTCTTAAATTTATAATTGAACAAACTTGTTAATTTTTCATACTCACAAAAATAAATTTATATAAATTATCAATATATTTTGTCAAAAATCTACATCTATTTTTTAAATTATCTTTTATTTTAATTATTATTTTGATATCATAATTATGTACATTATATTTTTTTTCTTTGTTGATCTGTTGTTCTATTTTTTTATTTATGATACACTACTTTTATATGTAAAATAATTAATTTTAATACTTTTTCTTTATAATAGTTTATATGTAGAAATTTTAAAATATAAAATTTAATGTACATATGTAAAAATTTGATTATTATAATTTATTTCAAGTAAATCAAAGATTTTTATTATAATTTCTGAATAGGCATTTGATATCTATATTATGATTTTAGAGCTAGTCCTGTGATTTAAGAATGGTTATTTCAATGATGTTAATGTTGATCTCATCTTCTATTATCTATAATTATTATTTTAAATCACACATATATTTTACCATTAAATTATAACTTGTCAATAACATGCATTTACATTTGTATTTATACAAATCAATTTTTTCTTATGTTATTTTTACTTCAACAAAATACATATACATAATTTGATTTAATTTTTTAAAAAGGAATATTAAGAACCTATAGCAATTAAAGCCTTAAAGATTCCTAAAAATGAAGTGGTTGGTACCATAAGGATTTCAAATAACCACTTTTTTGTCTGCCAAAACTAAGGGTTGCATAATGCCCATTCTTTCCTTCGTGGACTTTTGAAGCTTGGATGAAGCTCAAATCTAGTGGGTTTTTTTTTTTTTTTTTTTTTTTTTTTTTCGTTTCTTTTTGTCTACTTTGATGATCCACGTTAGTGTCATTTTTGCATGTAAGGTTTGTCTTTGCTGAGATTTATTCCATTTTTTTATTCGTTCAAATCTACCCAAGCTTAAATGGATACATTTGTGTGGTAGGTTTGCAAGTAAAGAGACATTTTTTTTTTTTTTTTTTTTTTTTTTAATTGATGTTGAATTGTAAATTTTGATTTTGATTTTGAATTTTTTTGTAATTTTTTTTTTGTATTTTTGTACTTTTTTAAAAATCTTATTTGATGTGTATATATGAAAGGAGCCAAACCTAATACTTACATGATGGATCATGATTGTAGTAGGTAAGAAAGGATATAATAGATTGTAGTAGATAAGAAAGAATTCATCTTCTCCATAGAGTTGGCTCTTCCAAGTAGAGTATGCCATTGTAAGTTTTTATGCTATACCAACAATGCCATTTAAAGCAGCATAATGCAAATTATTTTTTTAGTTGATTCCAACCACACTTTTTTTTTTTTTTTTCAAGGCTTTAAAAAATTAATTGCAATTTATTTACATTTAAAAATCTCTTCTTCACTCTTTACCCAACACTCTAGTTATAATACATATAGAAATATTTTAGAAATTAATTTTAAAATATTGGAGAATAGAAACTGTGTTATTATCTTTATTTAAAGTACTGTACCAAAAATGAAAACATGTTTAAATAGTAAGGAAAAATTTTAGACTGGGATTACAGCAACCATATTTACAATAACGCCACGTGTCGGTTAACGATGTATGACATGGCAGTTCACTCTGACGTGGCAATGCTGACGAGACTTCGAAACGCTTCTCTTGGCCAGAGTTAGAAGTTCTTACTTCGGCGTCTTTAAATCCAGCTCGGAGCCCGCATGGGAAGTGGAAAGGCAGCTTCAAAACTGCGTCAACCGCTGGCTCTTTCGGCGCTCATTGTCATCCCGAGTACGCGATGCAGGGTGCCTATTGTGTAGTTTTACAAGAGATCAGTGGCGGATTGCGGAGCTCTTCTACCCACTCCCTCGGCAATCGTCAACTTCACGACCGATGTCGTGAGTGCACTCAGTAATTTGCGTCGTCTGGAGGAAACAACGCCAGGGCAAGTCGTGCTATGGATGTGCTGGCAGTGAGCGAACAATCACGGCAATGTTTTTTTTATTGCATTTAAAGCTGTTAAGCTTTGCAATCTGCTCTTTGTATTCGACGCTGTGAGGTAAATTCATCCAACAGCAAGTTACAGTGTATTCAAATCTATGGAGATAATCTGTGGAGAACTTGAATGATGATTTGATGTCTAAATACGTTGCAAGTGTGTGTGGATGTCCTCTTGTCCTCTGAAATTGAGCTCTCTGGAATATGTACTCAATGCTTGCAGATGTTATGAATCAAAGAATGCTCCCTTTACAGCCGTGTCATTTATGTTTTGCTTCTTCAGGTAGAATATGGAATGCTTGATGATTGTCTATTTTTCCACAGCAACTTTTATCTCTATCAAATGCCGTCGACATTTATTCGACCAGGGAGTTGGTGTCAGACCTGCAGTGAGCTCTTCCGTAGTGAGCGAGGCGGAAAGCATTGAAGGACCGATGTCAGTATTATCAATTGATAGATAAGTTATGCTTGCTGAGCGTATCAATTTGAGAAGAGGCTATACCGGCGTTGTTCCAAGGTTGGCATTATCAGAGATAGACAAACTTATGGCTAATGTGTTTCAAACTTGAAGAAACTTGACTGAGAATGAGGTATTTAAGATTCACTTTGCGAGCGAGGCGGAGAAGTTGAACAGGACCTGTAAATCCATCAAAGGTAATGAATACTCAAAGCCCGTCCCCTTGATTTGTAAGAGGTTAGGTCGGGAGGTAGTTGTTCAATCCATTAGTGATTACTTAATATTCGTGCGCAGCTAATATTGAATGCTATGTGCTTTTCAGAATATTTCAAACTTTGTCATCCATCACTACTCACTGATTCATGAATAGCATCAATTAAAGTAGAATAGATAGCTTAAGCCCGGACTAAATATGCATTTATACTTTCAGCTCTGCCCGAGCAAGTATCTTAGGAAGCATGACTGTTTTTTATTCATCGCGCATGCCACATCGTGTAATTTCATAGGACGGTGGAAGGTTGCGGTGTCCATTTGAGCCATAGCGTTTGCGGGAAGTCCTCGGAACTGTAATATAGAGCTGCTGAGGCCGACGAGGCCAACGAGAGCGGTGACATGATAGGGCACGGCTTAAGGGCTAACCTTGGCTTCATTCCTAGGCAGCGGTACTCGCTGAGCCGCGTAGCATCATTGTATCTCGCTGAGGAAGCCCGGTGGTCTGTACGTGTCAATTAACCCTATCAGTATAGGTGAGGTCAATAATCATGTTCAGCAATTAGCGCAGCGGTTACTCTCTGAGCAATCGCAACAATTCTTCAATTTTTCCATTTCTGGCGTAGGACCAGCATCTACTTCGGTGAATAACAATTGATTGTTTCTAGTTTTAGTTTCATCCTTCAAGACTGACACTGTCCACAGAGCGAAACGCCAATCCTTAGAAACCTACACAGGAGCTGTGTTGTGAAATAATAACCATAATTAGTTATTGATCTTAGAATCTTAACACCGAGAATGCACCTAGGAAGTTGTCATGTAAACTGATAAGATTTTGCTTCACAGTGGACAGGAGCAGGTGAGGTTCACCAACACAAGCCACGTTCATGAACCACTGGCCTGTATTAGACTGTATCATCCTCCTGGCTTTTACATCAGTTTGTAATTACTGTTATCATCAGTATCTTAGTATTTAGATAGGACCTGCTACGCTTATTGGAAGTTTTTCAGTTTATGAAGTTAGTGTTACTATCCTGGTATTAGAGCTGGGATACCCCAAGATTATTGCAATATGAGTGATACGTGTGAGTCTAGAAAGAAAGAGTTTGTACGGATTAGTTTAAGAGAGAAAGAGCCGAGTGTATACAAGTACAATATATAACGTGCTAGCAAAAGAGCGATAATTAGAAGGATCGTCAAACTTCAGAGCGTGGAAAGACACTGTGCATGATGTTTTTGAAAATGAAGACTTGTGGAATTTACTTGAACCAGAGGACAAGGAATTAGAAGAAGAGGAAGGAGAATCAACTATAACCAACAGCCAATTCCCAGGAAGAAGCAACACAGTTAAGTTGCCTTCACAACGCGAACTCCATTGGAGAAGGAAGCTCAAGGTAATTCGCATATTCAAAATGACTGTGTCACCTAAGATGCTATTCTTCATCAGAAATGTCAAAGAACTTGCAGCTGTATGGAAATTTCTACATGTAAAATACCATATTCAAGCAATAAAATGTTATATATTTATTTACATATTTGAAAGATATAAAAGTAATATAGATTCTAAAGTAAAATATAGTACATTGGTAAGAAATGATAAATCAACAAATAGTTACAAAAACTTCTTGCAAAATATTATTATTTACCATGTTACATCATTTAATAAAATAAGAATATATATAACAGTGGGGAAAATTCTACTTGACATTCAAGGACTTCTTAAATTACATTCCAAGCAGGCACTTTCAAGTTTATCAATATATATATATATATATATATCAAGGATTGTCACACCAATCCCTCCATCAAGATTAGATAAGGGCATTCATATTAATTATGCCACCAAAACTCTTATATTAAAAAATAAACCTTCAAATTCAAAAATTGTAATTTTTATCAATAAAATAATTTTTGCCTAAAGCCCACCAAGCTCATCCTTATCAAATTTATCTTTGCCATATTCTAATTCTTATTGCATGCTAGGCCCTATTCTACACCAATTTTTTAAAAAAACTTAAATTCAACCACACATGACATATGACCTTTTAGATTGGTCTTTTCCAAATATAGGCTACAACCTTTATGGTCTCCAACCTCAACTTGATTTTAAAAAAATATATATTTGTTGTGACTTAGTAATATTAAAAGAAAATAACTAACTTGTCAATATGAACTTCTTAAGTGGATGCAAAACTATTTTGTTGATACTTTGCTCTTTCAATAAAACCATTTTTATATTACAAAGCCATGGAGCAAAAGAAATGAATGGCAAATATGTCTTATGAAATGGATTTGAATCACAAGAATTGGATGTAGAATCTTATTTAACTATTGCCAAGTAAATATCTAATTTCTACAAAATAAGTCTTTAAACATAAGTAGGATACTAAAGATAACATCATCAAGTCCAAGGCTAGATTGATAGAGTGTGTTTATGAAGCAAGACAAGTATTAAATTACAATGAGATATTTTATTGTAATAGTTAAATCAAGCATGTTGTAAGACATAGCAACTTTAACTACTCAAGGATAATATCCAATCTATTATTTAGACATAAAAATAATGTTATGATAAGGACATCTTAAGGAAGAAGCCTAAATTCTTTAGCTACTAGGTTTTGTGATTTTAGGTTGAAAAGTGCAAGTCTTTTATTGTTCAAAGTGTTCCATGGCATATACCAATATATACTTGGATGATATTAAAAAAACTTAATAATAATAATAATTAAAAGAGACAAAAGTGACTTCAATCTTTATTGCTATTATTTGAATTTAGAAATTAATATCATATAATTTTATGTAAATAACATCCTTCTCATAAATATCTCTTTTAAACTTTGCCTTTAATATCCTACAGATAACTTAAATTATAAAAATATAATTTTATTGTATTAAAATACCTACATGAAATATTAATTAAATAAGAAAAGAATTTAAAAAACTCAAAGCTTGCTAATAAACATGTATTTTATGTTTTTGATATCAATATTAGTAGCTTCAACTGTATGTCGATGCTTAGTTTAGAAAAAATTAACATATTCTTTCTTTTTAAGAAGTCATTCAATAAAGGTTGATGCATTTAGTTCATATTTATTGCATGTAGTTTATATTTATTCAAATACACAAGGAAGATATTACATGGTTTAACTTATTTAGATGACTGGATCATTACATTTTGATTATTTGTATTAAAAAATAAGTACCATGAAACATCTTTCAAGCTACAAGAAATTTAAAACAATTAATTGACGATTTAATTATGATAAATTATAAATTTGAGTTAAAAATATATAACATGAAAAATGTATACTTGTAGTTTTAAAATAAGAAACGTTTTTGCGTTGGTTGGATTTATACAAATGCATTGTAGATCTTGATTTGAATAATGATTACTGAAATAAAATGCAACATTTTTATTTTGCTACTATGCATATTGAGAGATACTGTATGGTGAACTAAAAATTGTGAAGCGAATCACATACCCTACACAAAACCTTACAACTTTTTTGCAATTTAGTATGAACCCAACAGGCAACTAAAAACACAGAAATGTTTGGGACACTCCTAAACAATCAAGCGTAAACGACAAAGGGGGCAACACCGTGGGACACCTATTTCTGCCCGTCTTGGTGGGCTTCCAAGACCGACTCTACACGACCTAAAGCCGAAGTCGTCGAGAACAAAAGTCCAAATAGGAGGGGATTGGAATGAATGTAATCGTCCACAAAAGGAACGAATGTCGTTCACAGAAACTAGAGATTCTTTGCGTGATGGGAGAAACCACATCTCGGACTATTTCGCAGTGTGAACGGGGTGGAAGATTTCATATAACAATCAAAGTAGACGAGCTGTTTTAAGATCCATCGTCTCGCTGCGCAGGGCTGTTGCGCGGGAGGGAGCTTGAGTTGCGGCACAGTGTCTGAGAGAGAGGGAGAGAGAGATTGAGAGGCAGGGCTGGATCGAGACCACACGACAGGAATTTGAAGGGAGCCTGCCACGAGTGGAGACTCTTCGATGAGATTGTCCGTCGATTTGCGGCTCAGCGTTGTGTTTGGCGTCTATTTATCCCCGTTTCTTGACTTAGTCGGGTGAAATTGCTCGGGGATTGGCAAAGGGATATCGTGGCGCGACGGGGCAAGGAATGATGCTGAGTTGTGTATGGAGGTTGCAGCGTGCAGATCTTACAGCTGCGTGGCGTGGACCGGGTGCGTTTCGGGATCTGGTGCAGGGTGTAACGTTCGTGCGGTGTGTGCGGTCGGAGTAGCGCGTTTGGCGCAGTGGTGGTGTTGGTGATGTGCTCACGATTTGTGCTAGGGTGAAGCTTTCGGAGGCGGATCCGAGACAGATCCGTTGCATTTTTTTTGAGTGGATTGTGGAGAGCGCTCGGTAAAATGGACGGCACCGAGAAAATTCCGGTGGAGGGGATCAAAGTGGAACGGATTCAGGCTTGTCAGGTTCGTGCTACTGCATTGTGCCTTGGGAGCTTGGATTGTTGCAAGGATGGAAGATGTTTAGCGCAGTGTGCCACTCCCGAAAAGAAAGTGTGTATGAATCTGATTCTAAAGAGCGAATTGTGGAGATCCTCTACATGTGGTTCGATTGAACGCCATGTTTGCGAAGAAACAGCCAAATCGTCACAGAGAATGTCCCCTTACTTTTATTTTTGAAGAATGACGTAGCATATGATGCTGAAAAAGTACATTTTGCGAGTTAGCGCTAGAATCTGATACACGAGGGCTGGAAACCTGTGGCTTGAAACTCTGTAATTGGATCCGATTTGACTGAGTGGATTTGAATAAAACATATTACGCTTCTTCTTGAGAGTTTAAGCCTCTCTGCAGTTAGAGTTGATCAATTTGCAGACAGTTTTCACCGCTTCTGATCGTGGACACCAAGATTTAGTCCCCGCGATGGATGCATCATTTTGTAGCTGTTATCAATAGCGCCTAGTAATTTGATGGTTTGGTTTTGAGTATTTTGGATCTGTCTCTGCACGTGTTCAAACTGCTCCCTACCTCGCATGATTTATTCTCCGTAATCATCTCAAATTCACACAATGAAGGTTTCAATCCCTTTTCAGGGATAGAGAATCCAATAACAATGATTTGTTCCTCAACATATTATTGTCATTGCATCTAAAGCCCATGTTGATTTTACGAAGACACTGACTTTGGGTTCAGCTTTTCCAAACTCAGAATAGTGCATCTGATTCATTTTATGGCTTTCTTAAAAGCCCAATGTCCATTCATTGAGTGATTGGCGAGGTTCCGTTACAATAACTCAATGAATGGTGAGAGTTTGTCTTGCGCTTTACTGATGCACTTTCCGTTGTCGTTTGCTGGAATGAGCAGGTGGCTTTTTTTCTTGGATTGATGCCTTTGATAGTCGCATGGATTTACGCCGAAATACTGGAATTTAGGAAACGCTCTTTGAACAAAGTGTAAGTTCTAAGTTATTGTTATGTGTCGGTCATTAGCTTTGGTTGCGATACCGTATGAGTAGTGTCCACGCTGATCCTGAGACCGGTCAACCTCATGATCGTGTCGGTTAATATTCAATAATTTTTCGCCAGCGATTGTATTTGGGATTGGTATTCATTTATGCTAATCTGTCCCTATGCTTGCTTTTCACAGACATAATGACGTCAATCTGGAAGAGCTGAATGATGGAACCTCCAAAGACGAGGAGAAAGCCGCTTTGCTAGAGGCAGGTCTTTCCGCAAGCGGAGTTGTTCCAGCTGTAACTGCTTCTGTGCAAGCATCTTTACTCAAGTAAGACGCTTGCAACCATGCCGGTTTTCTACGCTTGCTTTATCGATTTACTATGCTGATTTAAGAATAAAATGATTTAAACTCTAGGTCGCATTTTAAGAAGTTCAATTTTCCGGTTTATCTGCAGGTTTTGTACGTTGAATGAGGCCTTTCTGATTGAGAACCGTCTCACTTTGAGAGCTATGTAAGATTTCTCGCAATTACTGTGCTGTTTAGTTAGGGATGTAATTTGCAAATGGTGTTTTTGCTTTATTTTATTTTATTTTATTTTATGAGTTAGTCTCAAGATTTGACCGGGAAATCGTATGTTAAAGTTTACCACCAGTTATCATTTAAGCCTCTTACTCATTCAATTACTTTTGCATGTGGAATTTCATGTTCACAATTTCAATTAACTAATTATTGCATCAAGCTCATTCCATCTCGATTTGTAGCGACATTTATGTGATTTCCTTGTAGTTAATTACCACAGCGACGAAAACTTGCTGCTCTTCCACTATCGGTTCGATTCGAATGTGCTGTGTTTCTCTGAAATTTTCTCTCTTTTCTTTCATCCACAGTGCCGAATTTTCGGGCCTCCTCTGCTTCTATTATCTTTGTGATCGAACCAACTTTTTCTCTGCATCTAGAAGGGTAATCACCGCCTCGTTTAACAAGTTTCACGGTTCATTTTCTTGTCACCACAGTAAGTTGTGCGAAGGAGATAAGCTTATGGTCATTTATCTTTGAGTTAGCCTCTTACTTAAGAAAAGTCCCCTAGTAATCGGTGACATGGACTGATTCATATCATTGTTGAGCAGCATTATAGCAGGGACTTGTTCCTCTTTTTGTACCTCTTGTTGGTTCTAGCGTCGGCTCTTACTTCCTTGAAGAAGCACAATGATAAGTCAGCTGCAACTGGAAAATCTTTTCTCTACTTGAATCGACATCAAACGGAAGAATGGAAGGGTTGGATGCAGGTGTGCCTTGCTCATGTTTGTTTGGAAACTCTAGAGTTCAGTTGGTGATCCTCATCTAAATCTTGGTATGAAAATTAAGCTGTGTTTGGGATTGCGGCTTTACGATTATCAGGACCTGAATACAGTCTGAATTGGATACCTCTCTCGATCCATGTATTAATAATTGCAAAACATTTTCAATTAAGTGTAAATAACCCCTATAGAGGATGATAAAACTCGCAGAAGTGGAAGTTTTTCGCTTGCATCATTTAAATGTACTGGAGTTTACTTACTATTTTCTTCTTCTTCAGGTCCTTTTTCTTATGTATCACTATTTCGAAGCTAAGGAGTTTTACAATGCCATTCGGGTGTTCATTGCTGCTTACGTCTGGATGACGGGTTTCGGCAACTTTTCCTACTATTATATTCGGAAGGATTTTAGCTTGGGCCGTTTTGCACAGGTTGGTTGAGTGAACTTGACATCTATATTGGTAGGAACCATGCCTGGAACAAGGCAAAACAACTACCCAAAGTGGGTATTCTCTTTGCCTTGTTTCAGTCATGGTTTCTACTGGTGCTTGTCGTTGATCACTGTCTTTATCTGAAAGGTGTTTTCGCGATCTGCTTTGAGGGTGTGGAATCAAGTATCGTCCATTCTTAGTTGCTTCTGGATAATCGGAGTCATGCACTGACTGGGTTCGATGATTTGGCAGATGATGTGGCGGCTCAATTTCCTGGTCTTCTTTAGCTGCATTGTACTGAACAATGACTACATGCTCTACTACATCTGTCCAATGCACACTCTCTTCACTCTCATGGTGTATGGATGTCTTGGTATCTATTCAAAGTATAACGAGGTGCCAACCGTGATGGCCACGAAGATATTCATCTCATTTCTGGTGGTGATAATTGTGTGGGAGATTCCTGGCATGTTTGATATCCTCTGGAGCCCTCTTACTATTCTTCTAGGTAGGCCCACCAGGTTGAAGCACAAGTGTTCCTGTAAACTTATTATCTTTTCGGTTATGTAGGTGTATCGACCAACAGCAGTCTTTTGCTTCAATGATTCGTGAATGTTTTGATTTTAAACTTCTTCTTTTATCGTTATCAAGAAGTTTAAAAAGTTTCCTAATACGTCAGGCCAAATACTTTTACTAAATAATACTCTAATTGGCATGGAGCCTGATTTTGTCTGAAATCCACCCAACAGTGGAGGAGGTTTTGGGTGTCTTTGAATGTACACGGCATACTTATCACGTACACTCCTACATTGTTGCAGCTTGGTGATTGATAGTTTTAGGAAACTTAGTACTGTGTAATTCTAGAAAATTGGGTTGTCTTTGTCATTCCAGCACAAATGTGCAATTTATGTATGATGGTTTTTGGTTGTTTGTGCAGCGTATCAAAACCCCTCGCATGCGACCCCGCAGCCCTTGCTTCATGAATGGCATTTTAGATCAGGACTGGATCGATATATTTGGATCGTCGGCATGCTCTATGCTTATTTCCATCCAACGGTATGTTGATTTGGTCACCTAATTCTATCGGTAGAAGGGCGATTTACGCATGTTCCTGAATAAATGTGAGTGGTCTTTTCATTTTGACACGTAGTACAGATACGCAGTTATGGCTACGGCGCGTTAATTTTTCGAAATTACAGAGGGCTCACTTCCACATATTTGACAATGCTTTTCATGAACTTCATGTTGGCAGGTGGAGAGGTGGCTTGAGAAGCTTGAAGAGATGGAAAGCAAAAGCCGAGCTTTTGTGAAGTCTGTGGTTATCTCCGCTGCAGTGCTGGTGTGTTTTTATGATCTATGTGCTACATATTATTGCTAGGGTGCTGAGAAAGTAGTCTTTTCGATCATCTTTTTCATTGATTTTTCATTTACATGTGAGATTGAAAAGTTCAAATGATTTAGCATAAGCGTGTTTTTAATTTTTAATTTTTTTGAATGTCGTTGTGCGGTGGTTACTGCAGATGGGTTATCTGTGGTATGTTCACGTTTGCACTCTGGACAGGGTTTCCTACAATCGGGTTCACCCTTACACATCATGGATTCCTATAACGTAAGTTTTCTTTTTCTCTCCTTTCCTCCTTCCCCTTCATATCATGGGTGGACCTCATGGTTTCTGGTATCTTTTTGATAGTGTCACGTTAGTAAAATGGATCAATGGTTTTTTGCACATACGTTTTCAACTTGGTATTTTCACGCTATTTTTGGTATCAAGTGCTGCCACCATAATCTATAACACTTGTTATTGATTGAAACGCGTTGACATTTGCAGAGTATACATTGTGCTCCGAAACTTCTCGCAGTCGTTACGCAATTACTCACTAACTCTCTTTGCGTAAGTATCCCTCGGATAGTGTTGATGGTTTGTGTGGTTCTCTTTTTCTTCTGCTTCAGCCGCCAGATATTGTGCCTTTCCAATTTTCAGACGAATTGATTTTTCTTGTTCATACTGGTAGTTGTTAATGAACGAGGTTGCGAGCTATCGTACTAACATCGTCAATACAGTTGGTTAGGAAAAATCACGCTGGAGACGTATATCTCGCAGTTTCACATATGGCTTCGGTAAGGGAATTTGCAAACTTCTGTTCATCCGGGAATCGAGAGTTTTAGAGCAGCTATATATATCGTGGAAATCTTTTATTGTTTCCTGTATACTTGCATAGTTACGCAAATGTTCCAACCATTAAACTGGGGATGGTTTTCGTCTTTCAGGACTGGTATGTCCAACGGGCAACCGAAACTGCTGCTCTCCCTAATTCCAGATTATCCTCTTCTCAACTTTATGGGAACTTCTGCCATCTATATATTGGTAAGCGTTGTATAGGGTTAGATGTGTAAGAATTTTTTGGACTAGGCGAATGTCTCTTAAGTATTTATTCATTTCCCTATTTTTGGATGTTTTTGTGTAACAGGTATCTTACCGACTTTTTGAGTTGACAAATCAATTGAAGAATGCCTTCGTTCCTCATAAAGACAATGGGCGACTGCACCAAATGGCTATGGCTGGGGGAATTATATGTATTAGCTTGTATGTCGTGGCTCAAGTGTCCACGAACCTCCCGATGCTTCTGGTATGCCCCTTCTATCTCGTTTTTTTTTAATTACAGCTTCTGGATTCATTAAGTTGTGTTTGACTTTATTGGTAGTAGGACATGATTCTTAAGTTCACCATGGTTGCAAAATGTAGTTGGTACTAAAGACGCAAAATTTTGACATGTGTTAATCATTCTGTTTGCAGGCTTTCTAGGCAGGGCTGAACGTAGTTAGTCCATTCTTTCAAGAAAGCATTTTGATCATTCATACATTTTACTCTTCAGATGAGGCACGCCAAGTGCTCTTGTAATTTCTTCAAATGACCAGCACTAGATTTGGAAGGTCTCAAATTTTCATCATTACGTTTCATGGTTGAAGATTCTAATTTAGCATCGTTTGTTAGGAATCTTTTTTCTCATGTTCAAAATTGCTTTCCACATGTATGATGTGGTCGATGTTTTTTCCAGAAAAGAAGTTCGCCACTCATATTCAGAGTTCGTAATCCAGGTTACAGTATTTAGTCGTGTTGAGTTAATTAGACTGATTGTCGACTTCGTTTAGTGGTTCCAAAAGTGCATTCAGAAGTTTTTCTCGTGCATTTCGCAACCATCAATAAAGCAGGCATGAAAACTTTCTTTTACTTTCTTATGCTACGGCTGATGGACAGGCATAATCGACAACTGCAGTGCGTTGCAAACAGCATTGCCCAGTTCCAAGTCAACTACACTCAATTGTGCTACCTTTCCACACGACTTTTGAGTTCATCTAATCTGAAGGAACCAGTATTTCACTTCAGGTAACCTTCACTTCCAACTTTTGGCCACTTTTTCACTTGAAACGCATCAACATCAGTAAAAACGTCTTTCTACTGAAACTGGCAGTCATAAGTAGGTTGGTGATGAATTAAACGATGATAGTGTCAAACGCCATCACGGCGCCCTTTTGCGATGGATCTCGTTGCAGGGTCAGATCAATGCTTGAACTAACTACCATCAAATTGTCCGGAATATAGGCGATTGATAAGGTTGGGATCAGTATTCATGTATTGGCGCGTAGTGGGTGCCGATTGCATATGATTTAAGATCCACATCCAAAGTTGAATCTGAAGCTCCAACTATGAATACCCTGTTAGCTAATTGTCAGGAAGACAAGTCAAAAACTAGTACCAGCAATGGTGCACTCCAAATTAAAGCCAAGAACCAGCTTAATAATTGATGGCCTGTCACTGATGGAGGATATAATCCTTGCCCTACGCCTCAGCGCAACCGCGACCATTCCACCAAATTTTATTTCAATTTAAAACTCCTCCACAAGTACAATCATCCCCGCCAAATCGAAGGCCTGAGGAGATTTAGTGCAATGGCACTGAAGGAGAGTGACCTGGTTTCTAACCGGTTCAGGCTACTGACAGGAGATATTGAGGTGACTGATTCAAGATTTAATCAATGTTCTCTCTCGGCTTCCAGCAATTTTACTTCAAGCTTCGTTTTCCACAGAGAATATGGGAGGTAATGGAAAGCTTGTGACTTAGTAGATAATCCAGTGTTCCTATTAAGCTTGTGCTTGTGCTCTGAGACAGAAGGAAGGTTTTTAGGCCAAGGCCTTGTAAGAGGTTTTAATTCGGGAGTCTCTCCACAAGGTCCTTTTTTACTTGATGGTAGCGATTCGCTGGTGACTAAACTACCCAGATCTCCTGTTGCAAGTGCCGAAACCACTGTTATTACAAATACTACTGCGAAAATGAGAACTAAAGTTGCAAATGAACAATCGCAAAAATCTAGCTTAATTTTATTTAGTGATATGCGCCTTCCAATGATGACTACTGGAAACTAAAAATCATTTGCACGTACCAACGAAATAAAAGCACCAAAAATTAGGACGCTGTTGCATGTATGGACGATAATGTAATTCAAATTAGAGAAAGTTACCAACCTAGTCTTTGAGGACATTCCCGCGGAGGCTGCTCTGGCCACCGCTCTAAATCATCACAGTAACTATACCACATAAAATTTGATCGTGCCCACTCCAAGGCAATCATCTGCTTGTCAGACATCTCCTGCATGTCATTGTCGTTAAACCACGCTTTGTAAGTAGGTAAGGCACATTCAGGTTTGGCGAATTGCAGTCTCGGATCCCAAATACAGCCTTCCAGTTGGAAGTCAGTAAAGGTTGCGTCAAATGGACCCTCAGTGTAGTTCACATGAAACTGCCCACCCTCTGTGGCCCATGTTGAACCGTCCCAGATTGTTGCAAACGCGCTCATAGGCTTAGCTGGATAGGGGATCCCCAGCTCCGGCTGATAGACATACCTCCGAATCGGGATGTCGTCAACGAAAAATCTACAGGTCTTCAACATGAAGAAAATGAGCGAGATTACATGCTCTTGCTTAGAAGAAGTCAGTCTTTTACTGGTAGAACGCACTGCTAGCATTTGATAATAGTGTTTTATTTATTCAATGTGGTGGTTTAAGGGTACTCACACAATGTGGTGGTTTAAGGGTACTCACACAATGTGGTGATATGTCCACAAAATACTGTAATTATGAAAGTCGACAGTGGGATCAAACCACAGATGAAAGCGCTCCTCCCGGCCAGTTTCAGTATTGCCGTCCGCATATATGTTGGTCTGGATTACATAAGGCTGGCCTGGTCTTACTCCTAGAAATTCCATGTCGATCTCGTCGTGATTGTAAGGATAATATCCTCCATTTGATGCCTGCAAATGATCAATGCGAAATTCAGCACGCAACACAAATCTGACAAGAATGTCTGTTATCTATCAAGAACTAAGTGGAGGATCAGTTGATTAAACTTATCAGGGTGAAACGAGCACGATATTCCCCTTAACCAGTGGCTTATTTCATGATTATATCCGACGGATCAATTTCACTACATTAGTGCTACATTATCGTCAATAAGTGTTTTTGTGAGTATTACCACATCGTAGTATTTGTTTTGCTCATCACGGAAAAGATTAATAGATCCATTGGCTAATTGAAGGAAAGAATTGGAATGACCTGATGGTATCAACAGCGTTATTTCAGTGATCAGGTCAAGACACTCACATAAAAGGCTGAAACAATGCCAGCAGAACTGCCACTGAAGCCACATGGTAGCTTTATCGCCGCATTAAAGAACCCACGGAAAACAGAGTTCTGTGACTTTATCCCGGAGCCTGCAGCACATGCAGTTCGATGAAGTGAATCTAGAGAATACAGAATTGAACTGTGTACTGAATTGGTCACAATTGAAGAGAAATCTGAAGAGATTCTTGACGCTTCATTTGTAACAACTCGTTGAGTCGAGTCTTGAGTGCTTGTAGTATTCATGATGGGATATTAAAGGACCGGTAGCTAGGAATTATATTTGATTACCTACTTCTAGCCCAATCACATGAAAACTACTTATCGCTATATTGAGAGGAATCTAGACCAAGCGTGAATCACTGCATCAAGCCTCAGTCGCAGTCACGCCTCAGTCACGAGAGCCGTACCTGAGTGGCTTTCCAAACGCAAACGTATCGTGTGTCCATCATTGATAGAGCTGTCAATATCTCCAGGCGCTCCGAACATAGGAACAAACTGCGCTTGCCTCGACGAATTCACGTCCAACACGTTTGAATGTATTCTCACATCAACTACAGGAACATACGTCCACTCTCCCACCGCCGCTGCAGAGATTGCCATTTGCAAAAAAAGTACACACCATTTCATTCTGCAGCATCTGCAGACCGACAAGAACGATATTCGCGGAATTCCCGCGGCTACACCCATGCTGCGTACTCGGCTCTTCATCCCCCACTTAATTTTCATGAGCTGCTGCATCAACACCGCAATCACGACGGAGCCTCTCAGCTCATGAAGCCACAGCAGAGGAAGAAATATCCCAGCTCTCCAATTCCACAACTCAGACGCCGCCAACAAGTTCTCGTTAGACTCCTGGAGTGCTGCAACCCGCCGCAATCAATTCCAGTCACCATGTGTGGCACGCTCATGGCAACAACAACAACAACTAATGACAACAACTGCAACAGTAGAAGATGCTAGTCATGAATTTTTCCTTTTCTCTTTATTTTTTCTCATTCCTCTTTCAAGCTCATCGCCCTCACGATCTCTTCGCGGCACGCACTACGGAGACAATGCACACACCCTAATCTAATCAATTCTGCGACCACCTAGCCTGTCGTTCTCACGATCAGCTTCCCACCCGATCGCCGTTTCAAACGCTTCTAACTCACTCACTCTGTCACTCATGAACGGTCCTCGCGCCCGCCCTCGCCTTGTGCTAGCCCCGCCTCCTCCTCACCTTCTCCTCTCTGCTTTCCCTCCAAAGCGCCTGTCGGGACCATGATTTCAAACGCGTTCAAATCACGTCGGCGACGAGCTCCATCGCCCGCGAAGGCTGTGATGAGAATGAGTGAGGCGAGCTCGTGCGAGACAAGGACTGGTGCTCGAATGATACTCTCCCTTTTCTACATTCTTGTTTGCGGAGGAGCTCCGCCTGATTCGTCATGATTGGCTGTCACCCACTCTCTCCACGTCCGCATCATTCCATCACCCGGACAACTCAGCATCTGTGCAGTTCTTTTTTTACACCCCTTTCGGCTTCTAGAAGTCGCCTCTCGAAATCATTTCGGCCCTGCCACCTCACTTGCTGCTGCCACCTTGACCTTTGAGTTTGGTTGTTCTTTGTTTGTTTATTTCATAAGCAATGAATACTTCAGGTCATTACTACATTATTTAATTTTATTCATTGTTTAATTTTATTCATTATTTAATTTTATTCATTGCTTGAACATGACACATTACATTGTGTTTAGGTATAAGCTTAAACATGACAAGGTGAGGTATAAGCTTGAACACTCAAACAAAACTAAACTCATTACTACATTATTTAATTTTATTCTAATGTGTTTGGTCTTATATTGTGTCAAGATCTTTATTGTTATGGAGTTAGTAAGGTTTTAGATCTAAAAGAATCCAATCTTATTTCATTGATATTAGAACAAGTGTTAGTCTATTTTTTGATAGTGTATTGACAACCACCATTTAATTAGAAGCTAATTATTGTAATCACATTGGATACTATTTTAGGACCACAACGAGTTACTCTAAGAAGAAAAGGTGTTACAGTAGCAAAGTTTAGCAAGGAAATTGCAGCATTGGAGATATGGTAGAGCAACCCCAAATAGAAACTTAGATACAATACCTCCTAGGCCAAATAGCAACTGTGCAAGGATAAATAAAAGCTTCTAAGACAAGGGAATTGACATCCGCTAGGTTGAAATTGAACAAACTTAATACATATTCAGGCACCTCAAGGCAAGAAGATATATGCTAATGGTTCTTCAATATGCGACAATACCTCCAATTATCTAAGACTATTATATATGCCTCTAGTTATTTGAGAAGTGTTGCAACTATTTGGTGGCAACATCGAGCTCAAAGCTATAGAGCTCAAGGCAGATTTTGTGATTGAGAGGAGTTTGAGACCGAGCTTAGGAGTCAATTTTGGCCCATCAATGTAGAAAAATAAGTATGCGATCAATTGATCAACCTTACACAATCTAGGTTGGTGTAAGATTATGTCTTTTGCTTCAAGTCTTTCTATCTCTAAATTAACAATGTTTTAAAAGCGAGGAAGATGGATCAATTTGTATGAAGATTATAACCTATGGTCTAATGAAAGGTGGAATTAAGAGATCCATAAACATTTGACGAGGCAGTTATAATTGCAAAGAAGGTCAATACTACAGATTTCAGAAATTGGAGAATATGACCTATAGTATGGAGTCCTATACCACTAGTCAACACTATGGCACAACAACCAATATCGATGGAGATAGATACCATGTAAGGATCATAGACACCATAGAAACGACAAATATTGATGTAGAAAGGATTGTGTTTTTACTATGAGGAGCTAGGCCATCAGATTAGAGACTATTTAAAATATCAAAGTTTAAACACCAACAAATCATGGTGGATTTATAATTTCAAGGATCACCATGTTGATGAAGAAGTAGAGCAAGAAAATGGGGCTCCTTAGTAAGGACACAAAGGGCTAATACTAAGGATAGTTGTTGTTTCTTAGAAACAAATAATATGGCCTTTGACAATTATGAGAAAGGTCAACTAATATGTCTAATGGATCTAGTAAGAGAAAAACCATATCAAGTACTTGTGGATTGCCACTCAATAAAAAAATTATATCTCAATGATAATTACCAACCGACTTAGAATTAAAACAAAGGTGATCAAAGGAGGGAATATATACTAAGCAGATGACCAAAAAAATATGTTGAGCAAGATAAGTAAAAAAAGAACTCTAAGATTGAGTGACACCTATGCCTTGAGGGAGAAGTTCAGAGTAAGAAAGCTTAGATATGATGTTATCCTTGATATGCCATGGTTAGAGGTCAGAAATAAACAAGTCAATTAACTATCAAGGACAATCTCTTTCAAAGATGGAGGATGCACGGTGACTCTTCATACCCATACACTAAGTCGAATAGGAAAATGATGTGCAACTAAGGCCTTATTTGTAGAAATAACCTTTATGAAGAAGCAAATATGATGTAAGCAACAAATATATGTGGTAGTTCTAAATATTTCTTCAATGGTGGAAAAGACAACTAAAGGAGCAGAAAGGATAGAGCAACTCATATGTGAATATTGGGATGTCTTTTCAACTGACTTACCTAGTAGCATGCTATATGATCAAGGTGCCCTCTTCCAAATAGAACTAGTGCCTAGGACCAAACTAATAAGTTGATCAATTTATTGCCTAAGACCAAATAAACTTAAAGAGTTGCAAAAATTATTAGATGAACTCTTAGATGAGGGCCTCATTCAAGAAATTATGTTGCTATGGAGAGCACTTGTACTTTTTGTACCAAAAAAAGTTAGTGGATTTCGACTTTCCATCAATTATTAAGGCTTCAATAAGAAGACTATGAATAATATATATCCAGTTCTACCTATGGATGATCTTCTTAACCAAATTTAAGGTACAACCATCTTTAGTAAATTAGACCTTTGAAGTGGTTATTGGCAGATCCCTATTGCTAAAGAGGATATAAAAAAGATAACATTTTATACACGCTATAGACATTTTGAGTGGCTTATATTATCTTTTGGCCTCACCAATGCTCTAGCCTCTTTTATGGATCACATAAATAGATTATTTTGGAACCTTTTAGATAAGTATGTAGTCATCTTCATTGATGATATCCTGGTCTATAATAAAACCTCTGAGAAGCATAACCAACATCTATGGGAAGTGTTGCACTGACTACGTAACAACCGCTTTTATTACAATCAATCAAAGTGTGAATTTTAGAAGTCAGAGGTTATTTTTTTGGGAGCATGTACTATCTTCTAAAGGCATTGTCATATTGCATGGTTTTCTATCTAAGAATACATTAGATATCTAGCTGTAGAGAGTTTAGTTTTAACTTATTGACTAAGCTCCAATAAGTTATTTAATCTTTTAAGTAGAAGACAAATAAATACTACAATATCAAAAAAATATCATATTAGTAAAACCTTTTATATTTAAGAAGGTTTGTACATAAGGCTTTCTAAAATATCTAGAAATCCTCTAACATTCTTGGTTATACCAAATCATAACTAACCATTTGTTGGTAAGTTAGATTTTTAATAATTCCAAAGAAAATCCATAATTTCTTCTCAAAAACTCATCTTTATATTAAAATTTAACCATAGCTTAATATATCCATCTTCAACACAAACATATATATATATATATATATATATATTAAGACTTGACTTCAAAAAAATCCCTTTACTTTGTATAAAATACTCAAATTATAATAAAATCCCTTCAAAATATTTTTTTTTTTCAAAGATTTTATTCTTTTTGAAGTTTAGAAATTCATATCTTTTGATCCAACCATTCAATTTCTATCAAATTTAGAAATAATATAGAATTTATTCTTTTGCATTACTCCAAAAAAATTCAACTATAAATGTTATATTAATCGTCTGGCATCTTAAAAACTCTAGCAGGTGCTTCAAACCTTAATTTACAAGAACCTGAGTACTATTTTCTTCATATCTCACAAATCCAAAACTCAAATGCCACAAACTTTGTACATAAAATTTAGTAACATGATTACACACATTCTTAGAAATTTTGAGCTAAAATCTTGTCAAATTGCATAAGATATAGTTCAAAACACAACCACTAGTTAATTGGGTTACTTACTACCCTTAGATTTACAAGTGCTGATTTCAACCTCTAGTTTCTCCTTAATTTCAACTTAGAATCCATCAAATAGTATACAAAAATTATAGCTAAAAAAAATGTTCTTTCCAAGCTCAATCATCAATCCTTTGTTATTTTTTATACGTGTGCGTTATATCCAAAAGAGTGACAGTAGATACAAAATCAACACCTCGACTTTGAGCGCCTATATCTCCTTCATAAAAACTCTAAATAATTCAAAATTGAACCAAAACCATAGCTAAAACCCTGAATCTACTAATCTTAGCCTCCAAAAGCTCGAATGGCTTGAAAGTATAACCCTAATCCCTAATATGGCTTCGAGGAGCCTCCTTGAAGTCCATTGGTCATGATTTTTGACTAACAAGAATGGAGATTTATATCATTTATATGGGTGCCCTAACTACCTTTTTTGCTATTATAACTGCTCTCCAACTCTCTTTTTCACAAAACTTATATAATATATGCCCTGAATACCATATAAAAGAAACAAAATAAGACTTTAAGGATCACCAATATCTATTAAAGGTGACTCTAAATATTTAAAACTTACTACTAATAAGATCAACTTCAAAGTCACTATCAAAAGAAAATAAAGTTATATAAATTCTAATAGAAGCCCTTTTAACAACCTCTTTTTGATGTGCAATCTATCCACATCCCATAATCAACAAAAATCTAGTAACATGGCTTTTACCATGTTTTCTAATATATTGAATATTAAATATATAAATCCATTATTTTTACATGGTAGTCGAATCACAACACGATAGTGTATGCTTGGAGCATAATAAAGTGAAAGCAATGGAGGATTGGCCAATTCCTAAGGACGCTTCTAAAATCTGTTTATTCTTGGACCTTACTCAATATTATCTTCATTTTGTTTGGCAATTTTCATACATTGCTATCTCATTGACAAACTTATTAGAAATAGGAGCTCCATTTGATTGAAAATTAGAATAAAAAAAGGCCTTTAAGAAGTTGAAGGAGGAAATAATTATTGCTCCAATATTGCAATTATATGATCTCAAACTTTTATATACACTTGACTTTTCTATTGGCATTGTCCGGGTAGAGAGAGTTTGCCTCAAGAAAGCACTTTGTTCCTGGCTGCCATTAATTGCTCAATCAAGTCTTGAGATAAGAAAGATTAATTTTATCTCTATATATATATATATATATATATATATATATATATAATACTTTTAAGTGCTATTAC